TATTATTAAGTTTGCAAAGCCAAGCACTCAGAACATAGGATATGCCAGAATTAAGGTTGCCTGTGCAACCTTAATTCAGCCCGCTTTTGCATGTGCATATGGCACAGTCTTTAACTACATGATCACATGCTACTTTTTCCACAGGGCCCCTATCTCCTTCATTGCACAGACGCACCTGCTCAGGGTATGAATCAGGATTGTGTAGTGATGGAGACTTTGTAAGACCACTGGCTGTCTCATTTGTTGCATAAGTTTAAAAGTGTGTAGTGAGTGAGGCAGGGAATTGTAGAAAGGGAAAGAGGATGATCTCATAGTTAAAGCACTTGAATACTTCTGTGGATAATGGAGTCTATCACAGCTTATACCACAGAGTTTTTGTGTGATGTTAGTCAAATCACTTAAACCAAACTTTTCATGGGTGGACACTTATTGTATGTTCCTCATTTTCTCAGTACCTGAGTTGAGACCCTTTGTCTGACTTGCAGAAGTGTTGATTACTCACAGCAGCATCTGAAATCAATGGCATCTTTGCTTGGAACATGTAAAGGCAATATATGTTCTAAAAAAATCAGTCCAAGGCAGACACCTGTCACGCAAAATTTTATCCCAAATGATTAACATTTGACAAAGTTATGAGCGACTGAAAACAGGGTTTTATAATCTGAAGTTTCAGGCAACCTTAATAATAAGCAGTGCTACCTGGTCCACCAATAATGATAATATTCAAAAGTGAAAATTAAATTACAATTATGTAATTCTTTCATCTTAAATAGTCTGATGTGTAATTATTACTCAGGAAAGGCTAGTTAATAATTGTCACTGTTCCTTTAAAAAACAAAATGTGAGAAAATGTGAAATACACAGCTGTCTCAGAGGAAGTCTCTAAAATAAACCCTACTTTAATTCTGTTGGAATTGAAACCACTACAAAAGTTGGATGAACACTTTTTTGACTCACTTTTAAGACTCTCATTCCTCAAAGTGTAAGTCATCGTTGATATTGTCTTTCCTTCCCTATTTTCTGACACTTCCTATCCACATAATATTGACAGATCAAAAGAGGGATGACCATCAGATGCAATCTGTTTGAGCTAATGGAAATTCAAGCACACACATACCAATTCTCAATGGAAGCTCTGACATTTCTCAGACAGAAGGCACGAGTTTGCAGTAATTCTCTGTTCCTTTTGTCAAGAGACATCCACCCTGGATGTGTAAGGCCAATCACTAGCAGTTTTCATTTTGCAGCTATTGGGAACTGGATCTACATTTCAAAATCATGACATTTATAGCCATATCAATGTAAACATGTTTTTGATGTGGGATGATATGATGCAAGTTACTTACCCGTGTGCTATTTCTTTATCCATCATTGAAATTAGGTGATGTTTGTGAGTAGTATGAAAAGACTCTGGTATTTGCCTAACCTCCACCTCAAATTTGGATAGTGGAGATGTTTGAAGCTGTCTTTCAGCCACTTGTGAACTCATCCAAATCTCTCAGAACTTTCCAATATATATTTATTTGCAATTAGCAGAGCTCTGAACCAGCAGTGTCTAGAAATGATTCTTTCCCAGATGCAAGAGAGCCTCCTGACCCCATTGGTCATTGAAATAACGTTTTATTGTGTTGTGCTATGTTTTGCAAGATAACTTTTCCATTAGGTGTTTACACTGCATTCAAATTCTTTTCCCTACAGTGGGCATATAGGGTGTCTGTGTATAAACACACACACATAGGACTGGGGAAGGTTGTAGGCTGTGACACAGTGTTCAAGTTAAGAACATCAGAATGACCATACTGGGTCAGACCAAAGGTCCATCTAGCCCAGTATCCTGTCTTCCAACAGTGGCCAATGCCAGGTGCCTCAGAGGGAATGAATAGAACAGGTAATCATCAAGCGATCCATCCCATCACCCATTCCCAGCTTCTGGCAAACAGAGGCTAGGGACACTGTCCGTGCCCATCCTGGCTAATAGCCATTGCTGGACCTATCCTCCATAAACTTATCTAGTTCTTTTTTTAACCCTGTTATTGTCTTGGCCTTCACAACATCCTCTGGCAAAGAGTTCCACAGGTTGACTCTGCATTGTGTGAAAAAATACTTCCCTTTCTTTGTTTTAAACCTGCTGCCTATTAATTTCATTTGGTGACCCCTAGTTCTTGTGTTATGAGAAGGAGTAAATAACACTTCCTTAGTTGCTTTCTCCACATCAGTCATGATTTTATAGACCTCTATCATATCCCCCCTTCGTTGTCTCTTTTCCAAGCTGAAAAGTCCCAGTCTTATTAATCTCTACTCATATGGAAGCCGTTCCATACCCCTAATCATTTTTGTTGCCCTTTTCTGTACCTTTTCCAATTCCAATATATCTTTTTTGAGATGGGGCGATCACATCTGCATGCAGTATTCAATATGTGGGTATACCATGGATTATTATAGAGGCAATATGATATTTCTGTCTTCTTTACTATCCCTTTCTTAATGATTCCCAACATTCTGTTTGCTTTTTTGATTGCCGCTGCACATTGAGTAGATGTTTTTAGAGAACTATCTACAGTGACTCCAAGATCTCTTTCTTGCATGGTAACAACTAATTTAGACCCTATCATTTTATATGTATAGTTGGGATTATGTTTCCCAATGGGCATTACTTTGCATTTATCAACATTGAATTTCATCTGCCATTTTGTTGCCCAGTCACCCAGTTTTGTGAGATCTTTTTGTTGCTCTTCGCAGTCTGCTTGGGACTTAACTATCTTGAGTAGTTTTGTATCATCTGCAAATTTTGCCACCTCACTGTTTATCCCTTTTTCCAGATCATTTATGAATATGTTGAATAAAACTGGTCCCAGTACAGACCCCTGGGAGACACCACTATTTACTAAAAGAACAGGAGTACTTGTGGCACCTTAGAGACTAACAAATCTATTTCAGCATAAGCTTTTAGCATAAGCTTGTGGCTCTAAGGTGCCACAAGTACTCCTGTTCTTTTTGCGGATACAGACTAACACGGCTGCTACTCTGAAACCACTATTTACATCTCTCCATTCTAAAAACTGATCATTTATTTCTAGCCTTTGTTTCTCAGCTTTAACCAGTTACCAGTCCATGAGAGGACCTTCCCTCTTATCCCATGACAGCTTACTTTGCTTAAGAGCCTTTGGTGAGGGCTCTTGTCAAAGGCTTTCTGAAAATCTAAATGCACTATATCCTCTGGACAGGAGCGCTGCCAGCTTTTCTGCCACCCTAGGCGGCGGAAGGTCCCGCCTCGAAATGCCTCCCCCCACAGCGGCGGCGGAAGGTCCTGCCGCCGAAATACCACCGCGGTTGCCGCCCCCCAAATTGTAGCGCTCTAGGTGACCGCCCAGGTCACCTAATGGGTTGCGCCGGCCCTGCCACTGGATCCCTCTTGTTGACCCCCTCAAAGAATTCTAGTAGATTGATGAACCATGATTTCCCTTTACAAAACCATGTTGACTCTTCCTAAACAAATTATGTTCACCTATGTGTCAGACAATTTTGTTCTTTACTGCAGTTTCAACCAGTTTTCCCGATACTGAAGTCAGGCTTACCGTCCTGTAATTGCCGGGATCACCGCTGGAGCCCTATTTAAAAATTGGTGTCACATTAGCTATCCTCCAGTTAGGAGGCTTCGCACAGTTAAGGTTTTGCTATAATCTGGATGGCATGTAGATGTATGTCAAAAGAAGCAGGTTATAATAATGTTTCATATTTGATAAGAACAGAATTTTTCAGACCTTCTTGACCATATTGCCAGCTACAGTTCCAATCTCTGGCTTAATATCATACATGTTTCTAATTAAACACAAACCTAAAGAATTTAGAGTTTCATTTATGACTTTCCACATGCCATCTGTAATTTGTGATTTAAACACTAAGGAGTTTATTTAGTGTTTATAACCAGAGGAATGGAATTTGTCTACTGAGCATGTTCTTCTGCTTTTCATCACTTTGTTAAAATTTTGTCACTGCCTCTTTGTATCTCATCTAGGATTGGCCAGAAAATAAGAATTAGAAACTGAGCTTTTGACAGTTGGTTTCATTCCACGTGGGAACTAATACTTAGACCTTTCACATTTTTTCTTGAAAAAACATGGGCAAGAGAGTGAGACCTGCCAGTAGCCAGGAATGTGAGAGACCAGGTTCAAGTCCCTATTCTTCTTGCTTCAAAGGAAGGACTTGAACCCAGGTCCCCTGCATCCCATGAAAGTGCTCTAACCACTGGGATAGTGGCAATTCTGGGGTGAGCCTTGCCCTACTCTTCCTTAGCTCCAGTGGGACTACTGGATTGAGTAAAGGTTTGCAGGACAGAGCTCTTAATTTTTATGAATATTTTTTCTCTCCATCAATTGCATTGCTTCGTATTGTGAAAATTAGCATACTATCCCGATCCTTTGTACTTTAATCAGTAATAAAATGGTTCCATCTCATAGCTAGTATGTGCAATCTCAAAAGTTTGCAAATTTCATAGAAACTGGAGAAGCAAAGACCTACTGGGTCTGCTAGCCTTTTCCTCAGCCAATTCAGGATTGTTCCTTCATATACTGTATATTTTGAGCTCATTGTCCTGTCTTTACCTAAAGGACCCCAGAGACTGAGCTCCCATATCATGTTCCTAAAAAATTTTTTTCAGTACGCCAATAGATCTCATTATTTGGAAGTATTCCTGGATCTTCAGCCTTCTTTTTTCCAAATTTAGATTCAAATAATAAATGGAAATATGTGGCCAATGTAAAAAAGGTCAGGGGGAACAATAAATTTATAAAATGGAGATGGTGTAATAGTAAAAATATAATATTCTGTGCATTTTCTCTGAAGTTGGCACAATAATACATGAATTTAATCCAAAGGGATTGCCACTTATTATGTAAACAGGAATTGAAAATTCACTGACTGCTGTATTTTTCATTGTTAAAATAAGTGATCAGTTTGCAAATCTAATCTTGATATTTTTGGTACTGTCTTTACCTTCTCAGGTTCCCACTCTGAACCTCCATCCTGCAATGCTAATTCCATCACTTGCCCATCCGCTTGCACATGCAGCAACAACATTGTGGACTGTCGAGGCAAGGGCTTAACAGAAATTCCATCTAACCTACCAGAGGGCATTGTGGAAATGTAAGTGCCAGTGTCAACTTACTATTCTCATTCCAAATGTCATTCCAGATCTAGTCCACTTAACTTGTGGCAGGAAGCTGCAATTTTTAACCATTTAAGCTGATAACCATGGCCATTTGCCAGTCACATTGCCATTATCCCCCACATTTTTCGATTTTAGGGCTCAATCCAGGTCTTAAATGCAAAATGAGATATTGTGCAACATACCCCTGCCCATCTGAGAACAGGATCAAATACTCATCAAATTCATTTCAATTTGTATATTTACCCCCAAAAAATGGTGTATGGTCACTTTTATCAAGAGGCCAGGAAATGAAAATAGATCAGCTCCTCTTTTACATTTTCCTTAACAGAGTTATTTTCACATTTCAACTTACCTTGATGATTTCTCCCAAAATAATGGAAGTATCTCATGTTAGACAGACAGAGTGAACTGCGGTGGGAGGGCGGGGGTTTCTTCTTTGCTAAAGTCTGACATTAGAAGTCCTCTTTTCTGACTTCTATATTTCATTTATCCCAAATCTTTTACACTTATCTCAACACTTTCTTGTATCATCATATCAGATATTGGTTTTCAGATGTACTTGTTTTTACTAGTTTTGTCTGTTACAGCAGTTCACAATCTACCACAGTCCTGATTAGTGTGAAATAAAACAGAATTACTTTTGGTTGTTCCATAGGGAATGGTTGTTGTAAGATAGTATCCCTCTTGCAACGAGCTTTAAGAGCCTTAACTTTATGGATTCAATCATATCCATATAATTACTGTAACAATTCAGCTTTTCATCTCTGCAGAAATATTGCTAGACTGCAAGACTTTCTGGGACAAAGTTTAGCTGCTTCTCTCATTTATATGCTGGCCCATTGCAATTTAATATCTGACTCCCAGCAATTTGAGGGTTACTGTTTATCCAAAATGTTCTAACCATAGGTTTCGCTGGTGCTCTGATCTATATGTGTACTCTGTCACTACACTGGTTATTTTTATAATTTAGGATTCAGCTCAAAATCTATGTGATTACTATCTCAGCACATTATAAAGTAGTTCACTATGCTTAATTTAATCAGTTTCCATGTTCTGTGTGGACTTTGCAACTCTCATATCAAAAAAGATATTTTAAACATGCAAGTTCACTGAACAAATATGTTGGATGTAAACAATGCTCTAAAGTTATACTGCCCACGATAACCTGGGCATGTAAATTAATTTACTGGAAATGAAAAAATAGTCACATGCTTGATGACAATTCAGAAACTCTGAACACTTGCTTTCCTTAAAAGTTCAGGCATGTACCGTCTTCTGTTGGGATTACAGCATCTTGTACAACATGCCAACTAGGAATCTATTTCTACTCTTGAAATTTACAGTATAAATTATATCTGAAGTACTAAAAATTACTCTTGAATTTGCATTCCAAACAATATATACCCTATAGGGATATGGTTGTACATATGTAATGTTTTATAACATGATAGATTTAAGAGCTGTAGGCATGAACGTTTTAAATAATGATATGAAAGATTTGCTGAGGTAATAAGGATGCATCTATGAGCATCTGTTTGGGAAGTTCTAGAAGAGTACTGTGTATGGTTCTAGAGCAAAGGTGGGCAAACTTCAGCCTGCGGGCCACATCCGGCCCATGGGACCCTCCTGCCCGGCCCCTGAGCTCCTGGCCCGGGAGGCTAGCCCCCGGCCCCTCCCCTGCTGTTCCCCCTCCCCCACGGCCTCAGCTCGCTCCGCCGCTAGAGCAATGCTCCATTAAGGCTCCATTTTCAGTAGTAAAGGGTACTGTCAACTTCTTGACCTGTATCCTTTTTGTTTCTTGTACCTGGAAGTTGCCATGGGTTGACTGATCTTCTGTGGATGAAGCAGCTAGAGTCACAGATTGGAGAGGAACTTAATATGAAGTTTCCTGGAGTCTGATATTATTCTTTGGCCATACATAGGTGTCTCAAATTGGGCACCCTAAGTTTTTACATACTTTGACCCCATTCTCTCTGTGTCTCAGTTTCCCATCTGTAAAATCTCACCTCTCACAAGGGTGTTGTAAAAATATATTTGTGTTTGTGAAGCACTCAAAGACTATAGTGATGAGTGCCATAGAAAGGTCCATGAGGAAATTAAAATTCTGTTTTAAGAGCAGGGCTTGAATAGTGTGCTGCAAATAAGGAATGGGGCCATACACTGAACAAGGGGAAAAAATATTGACTAACTGCACATGAAGTGAGCATCATCCATCCTGTGCAATGAATGACACAGGGGTCCTCTTAAAAAAAAATAGTATGTGATTTTGTCATTAAAGAACCATCTTAATCCATATGCACAGGCAACCTTAATTCTGGCAGGTTTTTGAGGGCTTGATTTTGCAACCTTCATAATGTCCTCTTAATAGTGCTTTTTGGGTATAAATGAAAAATAGAATAGAGTATTAAAAACATGTATAAAGGGGAACAATTTTGGTGGAAGAATATTAGGTCTCTTCCATCCTTCACATGTGATTCTATTGCAGATTACGAACCCCAGGATGATACCCAAATTTGTATCACCACCATGCATCACACTCCAGCAACCCAATGTATATGCGCAATATATTAACACCTTATTAAGGTGTACACTTGTAGTAGATTTATCCTTATGTCTCATATTGGAGGTTTTAAATCTATGCCTACATTGTACTTAATTCACCAATATGTCACTCCAATTTTACACTAGAATAACTCCACTGAAATGAATGGAGGCACAATTGCATAAAATTGGAGTAATGCAGAGTTGAATCGAACTTGATGTGCCTGGATCAGAAATGGCTGAACATTGAAGTTTGGGACTTTGATTTAGATGCTGATTTGAACCTTTTATATTGAGAAACCAGTTGGAAACGCATCAGGGGGTTCTAGTTTCGATCAGCTCAGTAATACAGTAAGAGCAACTGTTTTCACTGAGATTATGCTTTTGCACTTCCAGCACTAGCCAGTACAAGTAACTAGTCAGGTGTTCCAAATATTTGAGTTGAACCAAACTTTTTCAAACCTCAAAACGGAGTCTGGGATTGTTTCAAGTTTAGTGAGAACTTCAGGTCAGATGTCTTTTAGTATCTGGTTTACCGATTCTTAATACTGACTTGTTTTATTGCCAGCCAACATTGTTGGTTATGTAGAATATATACTTCATTTTGGTAAATAATGGCTTCTTATAGCTTGAGACAAATAAGAGATATTCACTTAACATTGTGGAAATATCTGTTATTGCACTTCTAAATATTCATTATCTCCTCTGACTACCTAGGGAAAAGCAAACAAAGCTGCTTTCCCTGAGAAAACAGCTTTAACTTTAACTTTCTATTCATTCTGCCTTTAGCAAATGTGCTTCTTTGCCAAACCATTACATTTTAGGGAATTGATTTTGTGACAGGGAGTAGGAGGGAGTCCCAGTGGGGACTATTGCACAGTCGGTAGAACAGGCAACTCAATATCAAGGGTTCTTGGTTCTATTTCTGGGGCTCTTGCTGCTTCATTGATACCCTTTGGGGAAGTTCTTGTTGATCAGTATACCCACAGAATGTACCTCAGAGGGGTGTTGAGACTTAAATAATTAATTCTGAGTGAAGATTGTGTGATTGTAAGAATGAACGTGTTATAGAAGTGCAAAATACTTGTCTTTTCCATTGTCTTTTCTAAATAGACATTTCTATGATGTCATTTTACAAATTTGATTTTGCATATATTAAATTACACCAACAGAATCCTTTAAAATAGGAAGTATGTGAAGCATTTCTTATTAATAAATCCGTTATTTTCAGTCATTTATTCGTGTACCATAAGAACTTAGTCTGCATTGAAATTTGGCTTTAACATCTCAAACCGGAGGAGAGTTTTTAGATTTTTTTTTCAAAATTAATTTCCTTTTAAATAAAAGTAATGCCCATTGAATTTGGGGGCAGAGGAAAGATAGGTCAGCAATTCAAATTGTCCTTTCTCAAGAAGTTAATAATGGATTTTTTCCCATCAGTTTTCCAATATATAATGTGGCTTAGACCAGTATAGTATTTCTGAACACACCTATTGACTGTTCCAATGGAGGCTCCCCAGGGTAGGAAAGCAGAGTTTGTCTACTCTATTTGAGTTATATAATACGATCTTCACTCACTGCTGTAAAGTGGCTCTGGACATCTTTACATGTCAGTTTTGCCTACTGCTTTCAGATGTCAACAGGCAAACTGTCATCGACTGCTTATGCTCACCATCAAGAAACAATTTCCTACTCTCTAGGCTTAAAACATGTACAGGGCCACCTTTCCACTGAGAACAAGGACATGAAAATTGCTGCTATTTTAGATGAACTGAACAATCAGTGGAGAGGGTTTAAATCAGTGATAAATGGTGGGAATAAAAACACTTTCATGTGCAGAGATGGGTTAAGGAGAACATGTAGTTTTGTTTTGTCTGGGTATCAAAATGTACAGTTTGTATGGAAATGTTCAGGTTCTTTTTAAATTGCTAGTAGGTAAATTCTGCTTTGTATAGTATTTGCTAAATCCTTAAAGGGAAGAGAGTGAGGTAGATCAGTAATTAAATATTTCCAGATTTGTTGAATGAGATATTTGACATAGAAGATGTTTGGATATTAAAATAGATACAAATAAGCAATCACTACATAAGATTTCAGCTGTTAGATCAAGCTAAATTTTGTATTTTAGATATTTACTTATTTTCTGATTTGTTAAATGTGACTATTGTCACCTCCAACCACAAGAAGGTACATTATGTTTTTACTAAGTCTGATAATTGTATACATTTTTATGGTTGCATCATCATTTTTTTAGATTGGTCTGGCCAGTTTATAATTTTGACATTTGTATGCAGATGAATTTCACCAGGACAAGCTGTGTAAGACTTTGTAATCTTGGGAGTATTTTCTGAAGCATCCTTTCAGCTCACCAGACACATAAATCTGGCTCTGTTAATAAAAGGGAATTTGTATGAACAGTAAGGACAATAACATA